TTAATAACCAGTTCAATGCATGCTGCTTCTTGCCTGACCAGATCGGCCACTAGTTTCAGTGATTCATCAAACTGAGTCAACAAGACAATGTTATTCACATATTCAAGATCCCAAAGCAGAATGGTGGTACAATAATACTGTCATTTGTCTTCAGCATCTCAGGGGTAATGTTACCCTCAGTGCCTTCCCAGACTTAAGCTTATGGACTGTGGTCCAGATACCTTCTTGACTGAAGGAAGGTGGCTCTACTGTGACTTCCTTCCCCTCTTCAAGTGGAAGAGGGACTGCAGGTGATGGACAATTGAAGAGCATCATGACACGGTCTTCCCATCAATGCAACTGATTCTGCAGACTCTCGCTGATGCTGCCAGCCCAATTCTTTACTGGAGACGCTGGTGCCACATTCCCTTGCAAACACCGCAAAGTTGAATAGGGAGTGCGGAGATCACACCTGGTGGCAGCCAGTGGTAAACTTCATTCCAAAGTTGAACCCACTCAGCCTTTGCTTTTGCTCTCCACAAATGTGTATTTGAAGACTCAAATGGTAGCCTTCCTTTTTATTTAGCTCCAACAACTGTGAGCATTTATTCCCTGACCCATAGATGTCATTTGAAGGGCTGGGGCCCCATCACTAAACTGGCAGAGATCAGCACTGATGACCTGAAACAACATCATTGACAAGGGAGTGAGACCTCACTCCACAATGCTTCGATAGCCTTACGTGGTTCAGAACGGAAAGCTGTCTGATAGCTTGGTTGTAATAAGAGCTTTTGGCTGAATCAGACTAATTTCAGCTCATGTCATCGAAGTCAGAGGCGTACTTTTGTCAGCAAAAGCTGATGGTTCAGCACTTCTATGAACTTTTACATCCAATGTTAATCGCCAATGATTGTTAAGGAGGACATGATTAATAACAGTCCTAGTAAAGCCATCTGGGCTGTATCAGGTCTGCTTGTGAATCTCTGGCTGACAGAAGAGCCAGTCAGAGATCACCATGTCGTTGGCAGCTGCAAATTCCAGCAGTGCTGCACACTCCTGTTCTTCTGCCCAATACCAAACTTCCTGAATGAACGTGACCTGATGTAATTTTATTTTCCTACATGCAGGAAAAGTCACCCAGTATCATGATGACATTTCATCCCAGAGTGTCATTAAAGAGTGACCACAGTTGCTGGTAAAAAAATATCTGCAGCTACATTGTTGGCCTTGGTTGGATCATACACTGCGATAATGGTAAGATGCCCACAGCTGGTACAGAATCCGATGGTGCTAAGTCACTCATTAATCACTCACCAATCCTGCATTCATCAGGCACTGGATGAAAGTACAATGCCCGCCTGTTGCTAGAGCAACCTGTTAGGGCAGCCTGTGAAAAAAAGTGTATCATCTTCAATTTTCTTTTCACTCATTCCTGGCCAGTGCACTTCAGCTAAAGTGCAGATCTCAGTGTTCAGGATTTTCAACGGCTTGATAAGGGGGAGGGATTTTAGCTGTTCCGGACAATGTGCAAATGTTCCAGTTTTACATTTGTCACCAACACGAAGAAAATACTGGAATGGCCGCTTTACAAGGTTTTATTGGTCATTTTTTGCCTCAGTGGCAAAGAAACTCTTGGTTGTTTCAGCTACAAGGATAACTGACAACTGTCACTTTGGTACAATGTAAAAAAAGGAATTTAGTTTCATAGCATTATACATATATACACACACACACACACACACATACACTGCTATTTCTCCTTATCCGATTGTCCATAGACTCTTTGCTCTTCTTCTTCCCCTCCTCCTGGGAAGCCAGGGTTTGTATCCTTTTTCTCTTCCATCAGTTTAGGTGCACATAAATTCAAGAATACAAATAGAATCAAATAATAAGATAGAACAAAAGAAAAATAAAAGCATAATAATAAATACATTTAAGAAGCAGTTTCACTTACCATTTTACATTGATGGAATTGTCACAAAACCGGTTTAAATCAATGCTAAGGAACATCTCCAAGAGGCAGGGTGTAATAGATTCTTTCCAGGTCCAGGTGTATGCATTGGAACCTGGTCTTTTGATAGGAAAAGGCCCAGTGGGAAGAGAATGGTTCTTTGGTGTTAGGGAAAGAAGGACTTGTTTCCTGGTCTCGTCCCCTCAGCATCCATTACATAAGACAGGCTTCTTTCTTCCTTCTTGTTGTTGTCTTCCATTGGTGTTACTGACATCTTCATAAATATATGTTCACTGGGAGTAGCTTTTCCATGCTACCTCATATTTAAAATCTACTCTGAAACTTCCGGAAGGGAAAAATTCCCAAGGAATGAGGTGGAATAACATTTATTTTTAAATTATTTTTCCATGGTGCAGAATAAATAAATACTACCTACGTCACATCTATATCTGGCCATTAAATAATGGATATTTGTGACTGTTTGAAATTCCCATTGGTATAGCAATTCCTCCTCCACACTATGATATGTATGCCTGCGTATTTCTGATGCATGAGATGTACTAATCCATGTGTCCATCAAGCTGTGAAGATCCACAGGAGAAATGAGGCCAAACATTGCAAACTATAAAAAGTCAGAAGCAATCATCTGAAATGGACTTTTAAAAAATGGCAGGTGTACCAAATATAAACCAAAGCAATATATAATACCTTTATTTGCTTTGTTAAATTACTACAAAGTGAAAAGTTAACAGGAATATTTCTGGTGTGATTTAAACATACATTCATTACATTTTCAAAAGATTTTCATTATTTTTTTGAGAACATGCCCCCCTAATGGGTCATTTTCTCTTCCCAGCCATATGGTATCAGAAGAATAGAATAATAATAAAATAATGTATTGCCTAGTACTTGTGGAGGGCTCTTTAACCACAGATTTCGAAGTGCTTTGCAAATAAATTCTGTTACCTTCTTATTTTTAAAGACATGTACATTGAGACACTCAAGGGTTACGTGACTCACCCAACATCACCCAGTTAGTCAGTAGAAGAACCCAGGTCTTCTGACTTCCAGTTTTATGTCTTACCTACAAGGGAGCAATTCACTGCTGGATCCGGCAGAAGAAGAGTTGATGGTGAGGGAGAAGGCACAGAATAAGGCCCTAATTCATCAAAGCAATTAACATGTGCTTACATACTTTGCTGAATTGGAGCTTAGTCATATGAATATCTTCAGTAACAGCAGTGGAAAGCCAGAAATGTACTGGCCAGGTAAATTTCTTTGTATACATGTTTCCTTTTCAAGTATGATCCAATCTAAAGAATTTCCTCTAATTTAAGATACTAATTAAGGCCCCAATCTTGCAAGGTGCTCTGCATGGACAGATCTTTGTACTTATACGGAGTCCCACTGAAGTCATAAGTATCTATCTATGCAATTCCTATAGCATTCATCACCATAGTTACTAAGGGCCAGATCGCCAGTGCAAACTGATGTATCTCAATTAACTTCAATAGAGCGATGCCACCTTACACCAAGAAACCCTGGCATGTTATAGTAAATGGGAGCTTTTCCATTGACTTTTGGGGCCAGGATTTCATCCCAAATGAGGATCTGGTCCTAAATATCTACATATATTTGCCTCATGTCTCCTTTATAAATCAGTACACTCTCAATGCACAAACCTTCTAGCTGTGACCTCAACATTTATTAAAAAGCACTCTGATTTAGATAATTTACCTCTTCTGCCAGGAACTATCATTTTTTAACCTGAGCTTGAAGTAATTATTCCTACTTAAATTTCAGCAGCCTGATGTTAATGCTTTGCTTATCATGTACGCGCTCTTCATCTTCAAATATCAAGAGTATTTTTATCATACCCTTTGCGTAAAATGGAAACATAGGACAATATGCAGCAAGGAAGAATGAAATGTGTTTGATATTTTTTTCTGTTCTATTTTTTAATCTCCAGATGGCCCCTGAAACTGATCATATTTTTCTGTAGTCTGTTCACATACTACTTTAATTATCTTGATTAACTGATAGCACATGTTGAAAGATGCATGTAAGACAGGCAATACCGTGATAGCATTTAATCGCTTTTTGAAACTTAGAACTAGAGAAATGATTAAGCCATAATTTAAATATCCTACTAGAAGACAAACTCATAAATGTTATGACATAACTTTAGAGATCACAGGCCTAACAGTCTTTATCAGTGTATGCTAATGCAGCTCCATTGGACTGGGGTGAATTACTCCTAATGTGAGTAAGGTCAGACTCACGTCATTTGTGTTTAATGCAAATTTCTGAAACATTTATCAGCTGATGGACCGGCAGAGTCCAACGATATGCAGAGCCCCTTCATCTACCTAAAGAGGACTAATGGTACTGAAAATGAACTGAGCTTGTGCCTTGATTTATTGGCTACTGGGAAGAGTTTGGTAAACAGTGAAAACTGGACTGGATCCTGGTCCCAGCTTCAACAGTGCAAAGCACCCAGAATCCCAGTGGATTGGTGCCCTAAGAGTCCCCCTGCCTGGGGAAGTCCTCAAGGATTATAGAGCCATATGGTGGCCACTTTACTCCACATCCCCACTCTCTGATAGAGGGCATGTCTGGGAGAAAGGGGGCATAGGCAGGGCCACTCTATCCTTCAGGAGCCATTGTTAGCCAATGTAAGTAGAGCCACTTTATGCTGGGAATAGGACTGCAGGCCAGGATCAGAGAGACAGAAAAGTGATTTAACTTTTGAGCTCCCTGCTGAGCTGCACTGATGAAGTCCTGGAACTCTATCTATCTCAACAGATTGTGCAAATTCTCTCTCAACATTCCAGCAAGTCCATGCTGCTAACAGAATTACTTTACTTTCAAATCCTTATGCTCCTCAGGACAAATTCTGAGATTCTTATTGAGCAAGTCTCTCCCAATGGGCGATATGCTTGTGTAAGTCTCTCTGAATTTGGTCCTGTATTTTTGACCTAGTGCATTGCAAGGCTATCGTTTACAAACGTATCCACGGTGGATTTGTTTAGCTATGTTCTGTAAAAGAAGGGAATAATTAAATACTTACAGGATCCCTTTTTACAAGGCCTGGATTAGGCACTACTGTGATGAGGTGGGCGATGGTAAACACAGAGTTAAGAACGTAGGAGACAAACAAATTCTTATGCAGTGTTATCCTTTGACAGCTGAGGCTCCTGAAAAATATGTACCACAAGTTGCAAATCAGTGCTTTTATTCTGATGTCACTTTAACAAGCACATACTGGCAACTGTTTCTCAAGAATGCCCTTTGGCAACAGGCAGTCAGAAAACACATGCCTAGCATTGCAGCCATGGGACACAGCAAAGTTTTTTTTTTTTTTTTTACACCTGTTTAGCACCACATGCTTTCCAGACCATGCTGTGAGGAGCTAGCAGCTTAGATTCAGTACCCTAGAGGTTGGTTTTTTCACAGCACCAGAAATGTTAAGTGGTGAAGCAGAACCCTAATAATTATTACAGATGTGCATGAATGCAAATTCTGAACAGAAGGAATACTGTTTTCAAGGAACTGCTCTCTGGAAACTGAATATCTCAAACATTCAGATAAAAATTAGTTGATACTTTAGGAATTAGTGATGAGCCAGGGTGGGAACCTTGGACTGGAATCCCCTTCAATTTCAGGGAGATTTGGTTTTGTATCCTGCATGGCTCCAGCTCAGATCACACACCAGAACAGGCCTATTTTCCCGTTCAGATGTGGCTGAAATTTTATACGATTTGCTGCTTTTTTTCAGGATTTCCACCATTTAGGGTAAAAAATCTCACAAGAACAGCTCATAATATTTCTGTACCAACAAATCATTACCATAGCCTTGATTTGGCCTCAGACTTGATCTCTAGCCAGAAGCTAATTCACATCGGAATCAAAACATCAGCTCCTCAGCTCGTCTTTACTAAGAAGGTCTAACCTCAGTGGGGCCCTATGATAACTGGAAGGGAGCAGGCAAAACTGCTAGGTAAATGAATGCTCAACAAGTGAACGAGGTAAACAGCTAACTGCAGCTGAGGGAACTCTTACCCTGCACACTACAAGGAGCCGTCTGAACTGATGGCAGGCTTCCATTTAAAATCCACTGCTGTGTGTGGGTGGGTGGGGGTGTGCCAGCATGCACGCGCATGCTACAGGTTGGTGTGTGCATCCAGAATGCCCTGTCTAAAAAAAGAAGCAAACTGACTCTAATAGATCTAACTCCAGTTTCCTGCTAGTGATTCTGGGAGGGCCACTGTCAGGAGCATTGGCCCCTGTTGTGAACTGAGGCCAGATGACACCACCAATAAAAAAAGAGCATTGAGTCCCATGGTGTTGGCATGGAGAAAGAATGCGCTAAAATACTAACTCCACTGCTGTGGGCTCCTCTGTGCGAGTCTGTGGGGACAGAGTGTGACGTCATTTCTTTCAATGGCTTGCAAGCATTGTCACAATGCCAGTCCTCAGGGGCTTCTCAGAGGTGAGAGTTTATTGGAATGAATTTGGTTTGCACACGAGTCACACAAGTGTGTGCAATGAGTGTCACCCCTGTTATTTGGTCCAGGGTTAGAAAGCTCTCCCTGTTAGCTCACAGGGTCACCTAGAAATGAAAGTAAATGGTAAATATAGTACCAGTCACTATTGAATCACTGTACCCCTTCAAGTAGTGCAGCCATGGCAACATCCAAGACACCAAATAGTTATGAACCTTAAGACCCAAAGTAGGGAAAAAATGTCTCTGGCAGTGAGGGACTGTGGATGTGTGAGGGAACTTGAGCTCATGTTCACTTAACAGCCACACATGCAAGCTGTTCTGCGCAGAGTCTAAAGCCAAGGGCTCTATTGCTTCAATCCAAATGTCTGCTGCTACTCTTTGTTTGTCTGCCTGTCCTTCTCTCTAGCACAGTTCAAATCATCTACCATGTGGGGTCTAAGCGCCAAAACATGACTCAAGGTAGCATTTCGGAACAAAAAGTCATTTTATTCTCTTTTCCACACACCCTTATTCTCCAAAGACCGTGCATATTAGGACTTCATTTGAAAAAGGAATATGTAGCCGGTAGAGTTTGCAGAGGATTCTTGTGACATGCTCTCACAAGCTTTTTTACACAGTAGGCTGGCAGCTGCCTGCTGTACTAGCTGTAGTTCTACTGCCACTAGTTCTGAAGAATTTCTGAAGTGCCTCTTCCTGTTTTCTAATGAAGATCATTTTAACCATCATTTCTGTGTCTTAAAACTGGGTCTCAGTGGTGAAGTAACCAATGGAGATTCCAGATGGCATTAATGCTTTGTACTTATGCTGTAGTACACTTCATCCAAGGATCCTGAAGCACTTCACAAACACTAATTAATTAAGGCTCAGGAAACTTCTGTGAGCTAGTTAAATACACATCTGAGAGATGGCTATACCACCACAGAGAAGTCAAATGCATATGCAAGGTCGGAAAGTGGGTCAGTCAAAGAGCGATCATTAGAAACAAGGAGTCCTGATTCCCAGTCCTGTGCCCTAGGCATTAGAAATGTTGCTTCTTCCCTTAATAGCTTGATGGATTTGATGGTATTATTACCATCATACCAATGCACACATCATCACAACCCCCCTTCCCCAACACAAAAAACAAAAAACAGATAATCAAATACAACTGCAATAGAAACTATACAGATGTCAACATGTGCCCGCTGTAACTACCCAATTGCTAGAAATGTCATCTTTTCTAAGGCCTTGTATATATTACCGCGGTAAGTTAACCTAAGTTACGCTACTCCAGTTACGTGAATAACGTAACTGGAGTTGATGTAGTTTAGGTCGAATTACCACGTTGTGTCGATGGGAGACACTCTCCTGTTGACTTCCCTTTCTCTTCTAGGAGTGGTGGATTATCAGAGTCCATCTGAAAGTGCTCTCCCATCGATTTAGTGGGTCTTCACTAGACCCGCTAAATCGACACCCACTGCATTGATTGCAGCAGCGCCGATCTACAGGTAAGTGTAGACAAGCCCTAAGAGAAGGAGAAAACTGTGGCAATGGTGGATACCATTGTAAGGTAACTGTTAGCAAATGTGGACTTTAATGGTGACTGACAACTCTGGAGGTATTAGTGGAGTAGGATGACATTAACAAGTAGTTGTAACATTATGTTCCTGAAGTGCACTAAATATTTAATGTAAAAAGAAAGATTACTTGTCCCCTAGGTAATTTCAAGTGGCACATTAAGATAATGCTTGTTGAAGAGAATGATGGTGTTTTGCTCAGGGACAGTACTTAGTGTACTTAAAAGACCTTATTAAACAATGTTTAAAGTTTATTTTTTATTGTTTTACTCTCTATTGTTTGTAAGTTTGAAACACTTTTTCTTCTTCCTCACCTAATTTTGCCTTTTTTTTCCCAAACACTGATTTTTCAAAATAGTTTTGACATGGAGAGAATGGAGGAATGAACTTATACTAACAACAACTTACATTTATATATTTAGTCTCTAAGGTGCCACAAGTACTCCTGTTCTTTTTACATTTATATAGTGGCCTGTCATACCAAATCAGCTTTGATTTTGTATCAATTTATGTCTGCACAGAATGAAGAACAGATGGCTGTATCTGGTCTGGCTTCAGCCCCTTTCCATTGCTCCAATGGCACAAGGAGGCCAGAAAGCCGATTTATATCATCAGCTAGGAATTTCCCTGGTGTGGGAGAATACCCAGGTGACATAGCCGGCTTTACACAGCTCACTCTCCTGGCTCTGATATAGGGGAAGAGTTCAAGGAGGGAGCTGCCATGGCCAGAGTGCACTTCTTTCTCCCTACAGCCAGCTGTGGAATGGCCTCTTGAGGCCTGTGGCAACTCTGCCTAATTTAAAATTGCCCTAAGTCTTATACCAATGCCTGGACTAGCCCCTAGCAGTCCTGGGGAGCAGGAGAACACAACGATGGCTTTAAAAAAGCTCTGACAAAACTGTAGCTCTGAGCCAGTGTGTTTGTATATGAACTACTGCTGCTGATACAGACCTGAGGAGAAATGTGTATGGAGAATTTGTAGGGTTCACAGAGATAGTGGCTATTGCTTTAAAAATAAAAATGGATGAATTTGTAGTTTAATTTTGAAAGGCTTCCCCCAGGCACAATGGCACAGGCTCAAAGTAGGTCAATTTTTTGGTTCTAGACCTTTTATACTACCTTTTAGCTAGAGTACTTTCATTCTTTTAACCAAAGATTCACATGATTTATTTACAAAGCAGCACAAAGATCCTAGAAGATTTTAACATCCAAATATCCAGGCATGAAACTATACTTTGTGTGGTTTTCCATTATTTTCCTTATCCTTCTGGCTGACAAAATGAAGTAATTGAACTAGTGTTTTGAAAAGTGCTTTGCTTTAAGTTACTGGAGTGAGATAAAGAAACAGGTGGAAATCAATGGAATTTTGTGTTTTCAAAATTGGAAATGTTAGTTCAGATAGAAATGCTGTTGAGAACAGGGGCCTCATCAACCATTCCTTCTTATTGAACTGTAAACTCTTGTTGAAGACAAGACACATAAGAAATGAATGACTAGATCCTGAATTACATATCATGGTGGAGGAGGGAAAGAGTTCTTGAAGATCACAGGGTTATTACTGTGGTTAGTCAGACCAGACCTTGCAAAATCAAGTTGGTGATTTGGTTAGATTTGATTCTCCAATGGGCAAATTTTGGGTGTTTTTTTTTTTTACTGGAAATCCTGGGATACATAAAAATCACACAGTAATTGAGAGCAGTGTATGCAAATCATGTCCTTTCCCTCTCACTGAGGTAATAAAATAATTTGACATTGCTGGATGTTTTCTGTTGGAGATAAAGTCCTGTATACCTTACTTGTGTGAGTAAGAATTTCAATGGAACTAGTCCCCTGGGTAAAGATAGGATTTGGGGTTTTCTATATAAAATGGCATGTCCTGGAGTCTAAAATGAAAAAGCCTTATCATATAATATTGGTATCTGACTTTAGTTTGGTATGTTATATAAATGAACATGCTTTTGCGGGGGTTGGAACACTGAAGTTCACTCCTACATACGACAGGATAATTACAGTTGTCTTTAGGACAGAAAAGAAATAAAGCCAACAATGAAAGCAATTTACAGTCCTGGTGGTGTGGTGAGTGAGGAGACTATGTTCGGTTTTGAGTCATTTTGCTGGCAAATCAATTTAAGAC